AAGTTGATTTGCAGGTTATCAGTCTTGTTGGTGCACAAAAAGCATCTCTTCACCCTGATGATATGCTATTGCTCTCCAACTTTATTATGTCTTCTGAATCATTTAGGCAAGTTCAACTAACTTCTGATTCTTCTTTGGGCCATTTTCTTGTGAATCTGGTACAAATATTTGGAGATAATTGATAAGCTCATTTCGCACATGTATATGCATGTTTTTGGTTCTGTTTGGCCTTATTAGGCTGGTAACTCGTCCTAAAACCTTGTAGTCATATGGTCCATATTGTACCTGAATTGCTGAACTTTTTGAATTAATGATTGGGGCAGTCAGTTATCGAGGCAGACGTGGCCTTTGAGGATACAGATGTTACTGTAAATAGCCACGCTAATTTTAGTGTATTTTTCCTTGCATTCTTGGTAGATTGTGTAGTAGCGTTTTACTAATTACTATTATGAAATTTTACATGACTTTATATGAGTCTGGTTTCACGTAATTAGATTATTACTTCTAGTTGTTACATTTCAAAGTTCCCTAGATTTTGATTCACTTAGGTTTCATGTGCTTTGATCAAGTCATTTCCGCAACGAAGGACCACATTTTTCTTGAGGCTCCAAAACATTTATCTGGCTGTTGCATGATCTGGGCTGCTGTGGAAATTCACTTTTATGCGTATGGGTCCTGTTGTTTTGGTGTAATGACTCACTACAAGTTCTCTCCTGGACATTTGTCTCGTATCCTGAGGCAGCATGTAGCTAATGTATCTTTTGGCGTAGCTAGGAGTTGTATATGGTCATGACATTGCATCCAAATACTTTTTTTCTATTCTGCATGGTTGGTTTTCGTAGTGCTTCTCCCTCTCATTGTTGCTTTAGTTTTTTCTCTTTTTCTGTGCCCTTGTTGACTGTGAACGGTTGGATCATACCTTACATAATAATAGTACTCCTCCGTTTCAATTTGTTTGTATGGTTTTGACTTGGCATGAAGTTTAAGAAAGTAAACAAGACTTTTGAATTTTGTGGTCTTGAATTGGAAATATATCAAATGTTCCAAAATTTCCTTTAATTATGTGTTCTTTAACATGTCATGTGTAAAGTTGGAACTAAGGAGTTGCCCAAAAAGGAAAGAGACATTCTTTTTGAAAAACTTTAAAAGGAAAGTAGGACAAACATATCGAGACGGAAGGAGCATAATTGATGGCTGAGAGATTATATTAAACTGAGTGATAGCCTAGTGAAAAGGACCCAACTTTGATTTGGGGTTCCTGTCACCAAGGGAGGACTGGGAAAGGACCATTGAGGATTCTTGGGCAGAGAGGAATAGTGGTGGGGTTTCTTCCATTTTAAGGAAATGATAACAAAATAAATGATAGATCACATGTTACAGCCCAATCAAGGTCTGTATTCTATTTATACTTATTAATTTCTTGGAGGCTATGTTATAACACCTCATTGATGTCATGCAGGACATCAGAATCCTTCTCACCAATTTGCTTACCAAGATATAATCCCATGTCATTTCTACATGCTTATGTGCATTACCTCGATGTAAGTTGGGACGGTGTCAAATTACTCTTTAATAGTCCCCTTCTCCCAAAATGTTGTAAATCCCCCTTCAAGGTTAACATTTATTAGTTTTTACTACAGATACATTCTTACAAAATTTCAAATGTGTCAAAATCTGTTATTTATCTTTTATATTTTGGCTATTTTTTTGTAACTATAAATGTTAACTCTCGTATTCCATGCAATTCAAAGTAAGACTGTCAGCTTAATACAGAGAAAGTATTTACTGATGAAATATTTCAAGTTAAATCTCTTTTCTGATTCTTGATAGTAGATTGTCTTACAAGAATTCTAGGATTTTGATGTTTCCATATTACCCAACTATGGTGCTGCGTATTACAGGTTGACACATACTTAATATTGCTTACTACAAGTTCAGATGCCTTTCATCATCTTAAAGATTGCAGGTAAATGATGTTCTTTCATTTCTTTTTTTCAATGTACATTTTGTTCTACTTTTCATAGCTGAAGTTTTTCTTTTGTTTCCATTAGATCTGAACCATGGGAAATGTGAGCCATGTATATCTGTTCTTAAATTCTGACAAGAGGCATTAGCTTGTTAAACCTTTTATCTTTCCTACAATAGCAATGTTAAGGCAAAGCTCTTATCTATCTTGTAGGATTCGTATTGAAAAGGTACTTCTGGAGTCCAATGTACTTAATGAAGTTCAAAGATCCATGGTAGATGGTGGCATGCGTGTTGAGGATTTACCTGCTGATCATGGTTCTCATTCTGGAGCAGTCTCGCATCATCTGGGTCAGCCTGGACATACTAGAGAATCATCCGAGAGATTTTCTGAAGCATTCATAGGTGTTGGTGGTCCTGCTGGACTTTGGCATTTTATGTATCGAAGTATTTATCTTGACCAGTATGTCTCGTCGGAGTTTTCATCACCAGTAAATAATAGACAACAGCAGAAAAGGTATTACTTTAAGATCAAGTTGCTGTCGTAACAAACAATACTTCTGTCTCTTTTCCCCACTTAAAGCTTGAGATCATTTATCTGCAGGTTGTATAGAGCTTACCAGAAGCTTTATGCATCCATGCATGACAAGGAAATTGGACCGCACAAAACTCAGTTCAGAAGGGATGAAAATTATGGTACGTACTTTGGCTGCTTCCCCCGCTCTTCTGTTGAGCTCTTGAAGCACGAAGACCTTTCTATTTTCTTCACCTTATAAAATGTTTGCATATAATAGTTATGGCAGAAGAAAGCCATTAATTGAACACTGAAGATGAATCAGTGTTGACGGTCATTTCCTTCCTAGACGATTCTTGCGGTCAGAGAACTACAGCTGACATGTCACTGCTGCCTTTTGTGATCATTGCCACAGAAACTTTTTCCATCATAACATAGCATACAAAGTTAGGTAATTGAGGTCGAAGTTGCATAGATAATCGGATCTACATATCCTAAATCTTTTTTTTTTTAAAAAAAAAACCAAAATCAGTGAATAGAACATAGATCTATCTATCTTTCTGGTTGCATAGTACCGTACTGCAGGTTTTTTTCTTGTCAAAGCTTTGTGGTTGGGATGAGAAGTCTTTGGGTAGACACTGACAGTTGCTCGGTAAGAGATGTCAAAAAAATGCATTCTCCTATTCATTTGACTGGGCTTCATGTTGCTGTTTGTCGTTATTCATGAACAAGAAAAGAAAATAAATCCAGTGGGTCGTAATTGCAAGAAAAGTGTGATCCCTTGCAAGTTAGCAGGTTATGATTTAAAAATAACTTTCATATTTGTACGCGGAGCCAATTCTAAAAGCTAAGTGTGTAGACATAAATAAATGAATTGTTCTTGTTGAGGATATATGTAGTAACTAATTGGCATCTTTATTCATATTCCTTTAAATTGGTATTCTTTCTGGAAGGTGCTTGTGACAATCAAGTTCAGTTCTAGCTTTTTTTGGTTCCAGTATTGACCCTTATTTTGTTTCAATTTCTTCCAGTGGTTACTGAATTTTGGGTTGGGAATTCAGAAACATAGAAAAAACAACTCCTCATGATTTTGTCCAATGATAATGTTTTAGTTCCTCTTGGAATAACTTCCTTACCTTTATCTTGCAGTTCTACTGTGCTGGGTTACTCAAGATTTTGAACTTTATGCAGCATTTGATCCCCTGGCAGACAAGGTTTGATTATTTATTTGTTCTTTTAAGCCTGTTGTTTTGTGTAAGTGATACCTTGAGTGTCACTTCCATTTTTGAGAGCTTTTCCATCTATCATTTTATGGGCAGACAAGGTTTTATTATTTACTTTGTTTTTCTAAGCCTATCGTTTGTCTAAGTGATATCTTGAGTGTCACTTTTATTTTAGAGAGCCTTTCCACCTGTCAATTTAATGCTGTTGTATGTGCTAGATTTGACTCCATTTGTCTTTGGTTGAGGAAGGTTTGGACTATTCATTGACAGTTTAGTACATGCAGACCAATGAGATTTAATAGACCTTACTTAGTTCACTTCTGTCCTGTACTGTACTGAGCTGGTTACCATTTACAGTAACGCATGAAATATGTTAATGGCTAGGTAATAGCCCTAGCAATTGAAATCAAAATCTCACTATTTGCTCAACAGAAAGAATCTATCTACCCGTGTACCTTAGGATTGTTATCTTCCAAGATGGTCCTGTCCTGCCACCCCTAAATACATGTTAACTTATTCTTTATGCATCATTGTCAAACAGCTACTATTTGAGATGTTATCTCGGGACTAGCATCAGTTTACTTACCACAACGAGATCATCTTTTGTATACTGAAATTCTGATAAGTACGTCAAAGCTGATTTTCTCTATTCAAACTTAGATATGGCTTATTACTTTTAAGCTTCATCCAATGTGCTTGACACGTGTGGTATTATTCACAATAGTGATCCTATGACTGGGAGTGTGAGAATTGCACTATTTACTTGTGATCTTACAGTTTTTTACGTTTGGTGAATTTCCACCTTGCAGGCTCTAGCTATTAAGACTTGCAATCGAGTATGTCAATGGATCAAGAATATAGAGAATGAGATTTTCTTGTTAGGAGCCAGTCCTTTTTCATGGTGATTCTCTCCATGTTTCGAATTCCTTACAATAAGCTTTTGTTGCCTCATTTCTGCAGGCTTCCAATTTTTGTGGTTATTTAGGAAATGCCAATTGTAGTTTAAAGTTTGGCAGTCAAGATATGAGTTGGTCTCACTCTAGCCGTCGTTTTATTTTCGTTTGTACAATTTATGAAATTTTGTACCTTTATGCTGTATCAAAGGTTTATTATGTTCTATATGTACCATCTTTTTATAATTCCTGCAGTATCCAACATCTGAAAGAATAAAAGACTGTTTGAATTTCGAATGCGGATGCCATACTGGGACTAAAGCGCCACAGAATTGGTTGCAGCTTGTAACCATTTATTTCTCGTTCCCTTCTTCTTTCTTTTTGGGGAACTTGACACCTAACTGATTAACATCTATAAAGTGTCATCTTGAAAATTGGATATTCAGTACAGAATCATCTTGTTCCCTATGCAAAGGAAAGTTATACAACATATTGTATTACACAACCTCTGCTATTTTATTTTTCCTCTTTGTGTAGATTGCAGAGTGAACCATGTTTATTCGTGCTTTGCTACTATCATCTGCGTCAAATGCAAATAAAGCTACTGGTAGGAAGGACTCCATAGAAACGTAAACAGCTCAACGATGAAACTGCAATCCACTGATAGTGATCCTCTTGTAAAACATATATGGATAACAGAAATCTCTCTGTTGCAAATACACGTGACATAAACATTTTGTATGTTTCCTGAATACAAAGATATGAAGGTCAACCTTAAACATGGTTCCCTCTACTGATCACACAAGGTTATAAAGATATGATAACGAGGAGAATTTGACTGAAAAAGATGAAGAAAATCAGAAATTGACGATGAACATACACAGAAACAATTCCGTATTAACAGCTGTGACTACTTGAACCAAGTAGGCCGGAACCTCATACAGCAACTGCTGCAGGCCTTTTGCTTGTCTTGATCCCTTTAATAGCTGCAACATGTATACACAAAATGTAAGTTGTAGATTTATTAATCAATATAACATTAAGTTCCAAGCTTCTCAGTATGGCAAAATAAAAAATTTATATACTTGCCTTCAGCATAATCAGGAGCTCCAAAGACAGCAGAACCTGCTACCAAGGCATTGGCTCCGGCTTCAATGACCTGCAAGAAAAAAAATGACTGTTAAATCGGTAATCTCGTAAGGATAAATGGTTGGTTGCTTTGTTACACCATGTTCACTATGTCATTACCACACACAATTCTCTACAACTTGAAAGTAGGTTACAACATTAAACACGTCTGCCGCAATAAATGGCAAAATATGGAGAAATATAAGGTTGTGCTTCATGAAATCTGATAGAATATCAGAACAACTTAGGAAAAGATTTAAATTCACAAGATACAATCCAGAAGTAACATTTGCACACCACTTGCAATGCTGCTGTAAGATTTTATCCTTTCTTCGCATCCTATGACTTATCCCAACAATACATTGAAAAGAAAAATAAATCTTTTCAAAGTTATGAAGGGTCAGGCAACAAGCTTAATGGGAGAGGGGCTTATAATCACGGGAGAGCATCATTTACCTTGTAAGCATTTTTGGGACCAACTCCACCATCAACTTCAATCCAAGGGTTTACTCCCTGCAAAGTTAACATAGGAATGTCATCACATTGCATAATTTGCAGAGACTGAAAATGGTAAAAGAATTACCTTCTCAGCACATATTTTTCTCAAGTCTGAGATTTTCTTGACCTGACTCTCAATGAAGCTCTGTCCCCCAAATCCAGGGTTTACAGACATAATCAGCACCAGATCAACAGCTGTTGCACAAAAAAAGAAACCACAAACAATTTATCAACTTTGCTCACTTTGGATTCAAAGCTTAGTGCCTTTTCCGATCTAGATTTCCAGAGGCAGCATACAGGTTATAGACAGGAAGACCATTGATAACCATATTAGAACTTTGCCAATTCTACAAGTCTATTTCCCCACCCTTTAAAGATTGGCAAAAGCTTAAAAAATTGAAATACGGGACCTCATATTAAGAAAAATGGACCTTGAGCTTACTCTACTTTAGCAGCTAACTTAGGAGGTAAGGATTGCTTAAAAGCCATATAACTGCCCATTAATAGGGAAACCAAGAATAAGGATCGGTGACGACTCTAATAGCATATCTGAAAAATATACATTGAGCCTAACTCAATAGGAAAAACTAGCCCATGTGGGGGATTCTATAACCTTGCTTCTCAAATCAATATCTCTAAGGTAAGTTTTTTCATCGGAGCAGTCAAATTAATATACAAGTAATTCTAGGGTACACTTCCAATGCTTTTGCTTCATTTATCATCTTGAACCGTTGCGGCATTGTACAGTATATTCAGCATAGCTCAGACTAGTAGGGGCTAAGGTGATCTGACATGTTTTTCTACCATATGAAAGTCAAGTCTAAAAGATAATATAATCTATATCACCAATTTACAGGAGTAGTTCTCCCATCTCTCGATCCCAATTTCATTATTGACTCTCACAGCACCAATAATAAAGAAGAAAATTGAATCAGAAAATTATAAGAAAAATACTAAGAGTATCATCTCTGGAAAATTGTCTTTTAACTTTAAGGAAATGAAAATTCCAAATTATAAATAGATGCTACAAGTGTCATAACATTACAGAGACCAACAATCATTTATTTCTACACTGCACAGTTGCTACAGATTTATGGAGCATGTTCTTCTCTATTTTCGAACTTAGTTGGGTTATGCCTCGGAATACCTAGGAAGCCATTGAAATTTGGAACACATGGAAATTTGATAGGGCCATCAGGAATATTTGGAGACTGATATCTGCTAGCATTTTTTGGGTTTTGTGGACAGAACGGAATAGGAGATGTTTTGATGGTGTATCAACTCCCAATCACTCTATCAAGGTTAGGTGCTTAATGCTTCTGTTTAGCTGGCACAATTTGTTCCCTGTACATTCTCATGACAACTTTTTGCTCTGTTAGCTCCCTAATTCTGAAGTAGATTTTTTTTGCTATGGAGCTAGCTCAGTTTTTTTTAAAAAAAAAATTTGGTAAATTAGGAGCTAGCTCAGTTTTATTTTTGGATGCAATATCTTTTGTAATTTTGCATCTACTTGATGCCAGTTATGAAAACATTTACTTGATCAATACAAAAAGTTGTCTTTAAGAAGCAATATCTTACCATCAAGGACATATTCAATTGCGGTTAAAGGGGTTCCAGGATTGAGGACAACCCCAGCTTTAGCTCCCAAACTTTTAATCTGAAAAAGAAACAATCAATATTGTGGTCAAGACGCACTTAATAGGTGAAATAATGAGTAAGACAGCTAAAAAACACCAGTTACCATGAAGTTAGAACTATCTATGGGTCATAAAATCATAATATTCTGAAATATCACCAGCTGAATTTCTATATTACATCTATGGCTCTCACAGTTACAAATAACAGCAGACCATTTTCAATGTCATGGGACACCGAAAACCTAACCGTGATTCTATATAATTTCTCTAGAAGTGATAGTTCATTTTGAATAGATTAAGTAGATCATGTAAAAGGTAATCGGAAATTTTAAAAAAGAAACTTCAAACTAGTAACTGTTCAATGTAAGAAAAACAAGCACCCTACATTTTTTTCTAAATCCCATGGTTTGAGGATGCTTTGCATCATGTGTAAAGTGTTTCAGAGAGAAATCATTTATAAGAGTGTTTCAGAGAGAAATCATCTATAAGAGAAGTAACATAATTCATCACGAATAATTAATCAAGTACTCCAACAAGTTTTTTCTAACTGATATCCTAAATAAAAGCATGCAATAAAGGTAAATGGAAAACACCAGTATTTAGACCTCTCATGAAGGATACCGCAAATCATGGATTGATCTCACAAATAGAAAATTTGTAGTAATGTGAAAACGTTAGACTGGTGATGTTCTGTTAGTTATGTACAACATTCCTAACAATCTTAACTTGAGAGAAGCCTGTTACTGTAGCCATTTTAAGTAGGTTGCAATCAAATTCCTATGAGTAGATAGTCATTACTGAAAAAGAGGTATCTTGTATTTCGACAAAAACAAGCATGCCTTTGAGCATCAAAAAGTCCAAAGGATCACAAAACCAAGGGTTAATCTTTTTAGATACGTGAAGCCAAAATTTTCAAGAGACTGACAAAGATACTTAATAAGTCCCATGTGCCAAAATTTTTAGTAAGTGTAAGGCAGTTTTGATAGGCCTTTTCCCAAAGGAAAGGTTTTGCAAATTTGTAGGTTGCTCCTACTGAAAAATACAGAAAATTTCATAGGAACACACTGACAAACACAAGTCTTTGTTTAAATGATCTCTTTATCAGTTAAATTGCGGTTCACACAACTAGCTGCAGTAGCCAAACACAAGCCATGCATCAATACCACTAAGATAGCTTAATCTGAATGTTCTAGTGTGCTACAAACAGTTCAATGTATGGCAGCTAAATACCCTTTTTACAAAAAAACAAATATTTTTCATGAGCCAACCTACTATGCAAACCAAAAAACTCGAGGTAGAGGAATTTGTCAGGTTGCAGTATACAAACACTTCCGCAAACACTGTTGATAAGAACTTTCTAGCCTCCTTGTATAATATCATAAGTACAGTTTGGGATCCATATTATGCAAGGAGACATTATTTTTGCTAATTCGAATTGAAAAAGGAAAAAAAAAAGAAAAAGAAAGAGAGACAGATTCTTACCTGGTTTATTGTACGATGCAAGTGGATTGTAGAAGATTGCTCACAATGAACACTGACAATATCAGCACCTGCTTTTATGAAGTCAGGTACTCTCTGGTCAGGTTCGACAATCATCTGCAATGGTAGGTTGAAATTGAACATCAGCAAAAGCATTTTCGTGCCTATAGACCTGAAACAGTTTTACCACATGAAAAACAAGAAATACCAGATGCACATCCAGTGGAAGATCTGTGATAGGGCGCAAGGAATCAACTACAAGGGGTCCAATAGTTATATTTGGAACAAATCGACCATCCATCACATCTACATGAATCCAGTCGCAGCCTGCCTGCTCAACTGCTTTCACCTAAATGCATGAAAGGCACAAGAGTAAAACACTTTAATGTGATGAATGATTAACCAGCTTAAGAGCCATTCTTAAGGGAAACCACAAACAAAAACGAAGAAATTCATTAAAGAACTTGACCTAAAATCAGAATTCAGAAAGGCAAAATGTATTTACTCAATATTTTGAACTTGTAGATGTATAGCAATATTTATTACATCTCGTTTCCAAATAGAAATACACCTTCATAAGATCTATACAAATATGGTAGGGCAACAAATCCATACGACCACAAACCTGCTCTCCTAATTTAGAAAAGTTAGCAGAAAGGATGGATGGAGAAACAATAATGTCGCTTTTCGAGAACTTATCCACCCGAGAAGAAGCTGTCACCACAGTTTGAATTCTCCTCCTGCATTTACAAACAAAATTAAGAACTTCATTTGGACAGATTGTGACGCTAGTATAAGGTATAGTTGCAGAAAGATAAATGCTTGCCAGTTAAATTTCCTTTATTTTAAGATAGGAAGTAAGAGAGGAATATGCGGTTGTTAGCAATAAAAGAAAATGAATGGCTCTTGTCCAAAAGAACAAAAAATGCATGAACTCAACTGATATATTCAAGAAATCGGCTCATTTTTACAACTACATCAGCAAAATTGCATCACCAAGTGAGCATAATCTTATCAGTGAGATAAATAGCTAATAGCAATTGGAATCAAATTCAAGTTACGGTCGGTGCTTGTTGAAAAACATAAAAGACAAAGTGACTTGAACAAGAATTAATCAGAATGTCAAAAGAAAAAAAAAACATGACATTGCCAAGGAGCATTCTGGCATGAGCTTTAGCTTATCAGCCAATTGCCAATTGAAGAGGATGGTTCCAGATGCTTTTAGATACTAAATTGACTACCACAAGGCAAGCAATCCTGAATTGCAGATTATCCAGCTTATAACATTGACTATCAGACTATTTGCTTACCACACAGGAAAATCAAACTTCAAATAGGATATGAAGGCATATTCACAAACATAGAGAGTGCAAAAATTCCTGGTACATCTTTATCATCCACTACATGACATATCTTTATCATCCTTCATGATACCACCAAGGGGCCTGTATCCTGATAAACACATTTGATTCCTTCTATCCAATATCTTAAAACTTCTTTCCTCTTTTGAACCATCACAAAATCTTTAAAAACTTATCCTCCTCCGAGTCACATAATCATTAACATAGCGCTCCAGAATATCATTTCAGAGTTAACTGGATATTTCACCAACTAATTATTTCTTCCATTCTGTGATCTTTAACAGTTTTTGTTTTTAAAACTATCAATTCAATTTAATAATCTCCACAAACAAAGATTCATACACCCACTCTACACACCAAAAACATCAAAGTCCAATTTTTTCCAGTGGAAATGACTGATTAAGATTTCCCGCAACAGGCTAGCAAATAACTCAAAGTAGAGTGAAGAATCAAAAAGACTTGGTAATTTTTAGGGGAAAAGGAAGTAAGACTATGAAGAAATTAGAAAAAACCTGGTGAAAGTGAGTGAATTGGGGTTGGAGAAAGAAATCTTTTGACTCCCGCCAAATCCACTAATTTGGGATTGTAACAGAGTTGATGAACCCAAAGAAGAAGCAGTCGCCATTGATTGTTTTTTTTTAAAATTTTCTTGAAGCAAACTTTTGCCTTGTTGAAAATTGAGAATAAAGGTTGGTACTTTGTCAATTTGAAAGCACCAAAGCTCAAAATTCCAACCACCACTTTGAAGACAAGAACCGAAAACTGTTGTAATTTTGAGGAAAATCAAGAATGAAATATCAGGTGGACACGTGTCCGATTTGGTTTGTCATAGAGGGCTTTGCTTATCTTCAATGGTTGGCCCTTCTCTTTTGCTGACTCAATTTCATTCTTCATTTATCGCATGATGGCCACAAGCACACGAACCAAAGACCAAGGTAGAAACCATCCACCCATTATAATTTTAAATTTTTTCAATTTATTGTAACAAAGTTGTGTTTATTTCTAGGTAACTATAACGTTGCATATATCATGATTCATGACTCATAATTTAAAAGTATAACTTTTTTCTTTTAGATAATTTGATCGTGATAAGTTTTAGGGTGGAGTCGGTTAAGGAGATTTATTCGATTATTTTAATTATAAGTTTATATATATATATATATATATTAAATACTCAACCTTGTTAGATTTTATTGTGTGTTTGATTTTGAAATTTCTTAACGAAAATCTTTGACTATGACTAGAGATAAATTTTTTAGATTATGAGTTTATATACTTTGAACTCAAAAACTTTAACAGAGAATATATTTGGATTTTACTTTCTTGAGCTCTTAACAATGAGTTGGTAATAATTGATAGCTAAAGAAATAAGAGTAATTGAAAAAAAAAAACTACATTTTGACAAATATATCTTCCGGTTTGTATCTTATCATCATATCATATATTACTAAAAGCATGAACAAAAAAAGTTGAAAGTTGAATTACAGTTTTATCCCTTCTATAAATTAAATTGTTATAAAATATTTAAATATTTGATTGTATAAATTTAATTAAAAGATTAATGACTTTTAGACTTCTAAAGATTGATTTCTAATTAAATATCCAATTAATTAATATTTATCATCTATAATCTATATGTATATAATAATTATAATTTATTTTTTTTAAAAAAAGTATTTACTAAATTGCTATATTTTTCCTCTTTCTCATAACTTTTTCCTTTAACCCCTCTCATGAATAATATAATTTATGTGGATAAAGTATTATCCTTTATGATAAATAACGAATTTAATAATATAAAGGGTGCAAATCTGCAAAATGGAGACACACGTTGATAATGTCCTCTCGATTATTATTAAAGAATGACTCTATCTTCACAAATTTAAATTCATTAACGCTTAATTACGTGATAAGACTTTTAGTTGTTCTTTTTACATGGTTTGCTAATTTTAACTTCTTATTTCATATTATTCATTTATTTATTATTATTTGTTAATTACTTATTCAACTTTATACTCTTAATATTCATAACTCTCATCTTTTCATATTCATAACCTCCAAATATTTAAACTAAAACTTTAATATATCTTTTGATATTCCTTCTATTCTATCTATATAAATTTAACTTTTTTAATCTCATGAAACCCCTACCACGATTATTAGGCTATCATTTTCATTCTATAGTTAAAGTAGATGAAGAAACCTCTTGAATTTTGATAGAAGATGAAAGGAGTCGATAAGAACTCAGAGAATTATGTACTAATTTTGTACTTATTTTTTCATCTATACATACATCAGTCTTATAAGAACAATGTTTACATTGGATCTTTCTTAAATCTGTTTCTTTTTGTCTTTTTTTTTTAATCACCATCAGACTTCTTAATTTAGTTTTTTTATGAATGTTTTATTGCGTAAGTCTTTATTCTTATTTTGTAATTGTTACATTATATTATTCATTAATTTACATATATATTTCCATAAATTTTTTATCATTATAACATATCTATAAAAATTCACATAGAATACACGTGCGAAGCACGTTCTCAGAAACTAGTATTATTATAAGTGGGAAGAATGTTAGGCAAAAGTTGAATTACTATTTTGCCCCTGTACTAAATCATAATCAAAGTAATTAAATATTAGTAAATAAATTGCTAATTATTTTATAGTCTTAACTTAATTACTCTTAATTTTTAAATTTCAAAAGTTTTACCCCTGTCCTTACATTGAAATAGTAAAAATCATCTAATTGGTTATTAGTAAAATATTAGTATATAAAGTATATGACACGTTTTCCTATTATTTTTTTTTTAAAATAGTTAATTTTTTTTGAAGTTTATCTCTTAGGCTATTTATAAATTAATTAATTGTTAATTTGTTTACATGTGTTAATTTATGTTTCCTTAATTCTTATTTGATGCTTTAATAGGTGAGAAAATTATTTTAATGAGAATTTTTTTTTTTTGTAATTTGTTCAATTTCTTGGAGTTATTTTTTAATATTAAATATAAAACTTTTAATTTATAGTATCTTAATTACAATGTATAATTATTAGTTTCAGTCTTCAGTAATTCTATCATATAATAATGAACACATATTTAAATGATGCAACTGAAAAGGCATAACAGACAAGGGAAACAAAGAGTCTCATTTATTATAATATATTGTGTGTATTCTATGTTAATCATTCAAAAATCTAATCTATCATCTTCCTAATTTCATATGTTTATCGGAGATACTCCAGTAAGTATGTATTATTTCTTTTCTTTTTGTTTCATCTTTGCATATTCTAATTTTGTTGGTACAAAGAAAAATACATAGATGAACATTCTGAAAACTCTTATGATTTCTTTGATATGCTTTTCTTTTTCGATAACAGAATGATGGTATCAGAACCTTTGATTATAAGAGTACCCTGCTAGACTTAAAAGATAAGTTATTAGTGTAATTTTGTACATGGTCAGATTATAGAAATCATTGGTTCAATATTTTTATAATTTTCTTAAATTCTCTTTTGAGTTTGGAGAAATGACTATTGATAGAGTATAAATTGGTACTAATGCGACGTATCGAAAAAGATTATAGATGTCTTCGATTATATTCACATTCAGTAGTCTACAACCTATATATATTAAGCTTTCCAAAGAAAATATTTATGACATATTTGTACTTAGTCTGGTAGATGATTTTTTTTTTTTGATGATATAACATATACTCTTATTATTATAAGTGAGAAGCTCTTAACTTAAAAGTTGAATTACCATTTTGCCCTTATTTTATCCCTAAACTAAATTAAATATTAATATATAATTAATTTAATATTAAATAATCATATTTAAATACATGCATCTAGACACAATAGTTTAAATTCTAATTATTTACATACTAAGTAATAATTATATTATACTAAAACTAAGAAGGTGTAAAGTCAAACTTTGAAAGACAAAAATATTTTATAGAAAATTGTTAGAAATTATTTCATAGGAAATTGTTAGGAATTACTTTTTTTTTTAAAAATAAAAGTTATAATTCTTTCTCTATAATTAATGTGGTTAAATGATTAAATTTGTTATCCTCTCTATGTAGTTAGTATAATTAAATGTATTGAATTATTAGTAAAAACAATCACCTTTCCTCTACCGCATGTCTAAGATCATTCAACTTCTGAAATTAACTTAAACAACTCTTCACCTTTTCATCTTATCCAATGAATCTTTAGCTATATACATGTATCATTTAAAAATAATTGTTATTTATCATTTGTCTCGTGTTGATGTGAATTATTAGGCAATTTACAGGTACTTTTTTTTTTGTTTTGAAATATCAATATTTGTTGATCCTCATTAGAATGATATTTTAAATCATAAATTTTATCTTTACTATTTTAGATTGTTTTTTTTTGTTACGGGAGAAAAAATAATTACTCCTTGTAAGGATATGAATATTGTTTGTATTCTTATCTGTTTAATTTTTTGTATTCTTTACCGATTATACTTCTTTAATATAATCTTCTATGAAATTATGAATGCTATAAGTCTGTTTTTATTAGTGCTGAAATTACTAATTTTTGACATTTAGATTCATTTTTAAATGTACTATTATAATATTTATTTACTTTTATCTTTCCTTACTAATATAGTTTCTTTAAGTAGCTACACATTTGTGTACTTACTAATATAGAGAGTAATGAGAGATTATTAAGAATAAGTCATATAGATATATTCATATTATTAGATGCTATAATAATATAATTATTTTTTTATATTTCTTGCTTGATGGTCAATGTATTATTCGATTATTATGAATTTTATTTAATAAATAGAATATAAATTGGTAAAACTAATATTTCTAATTTCAACATTATATAATAATTCAACTTTATCATAATTGTATGAGGCAAACGTGCAACGCACGTTTCGGAAACTAGTGAGTTTATATATATATTAAATACTCAACCTTGTTGGATTTCATTGTGTGTTTGATTTTGAAATTTCTTAAATGAAAATCTTGACTATGACTAGAGATAAATTTTTTAGATTATGAGTTTATATACTTACAACTCAAAACTTTAACAGAGAATATATTTGGATTTTACTTTCTTGAGCTCTTAACAATGAGTTGGTAATAATTGATAGCTAAAGAAATAAGAGTAATTGAAAAAAAAAAAACTACATTTTGACAAATATATCTTCCAGTTTGTATCTTATATAGTTTTAAATGTACCAACTCTCTAGAAGTCAAAGCTTGCCTTCTTTCAAAGTAAACATCCAGTTATGTTGTTCTTCTTGTTTTGGACTAATTTTACTTGCTTAACATTGTAACAATATTAATAACTTTTGATAGTATACAACTTATTGACCTGAAATAGTAATGGCATTGAATCTCTTCGGGGGTACTTTTTTCTTAAGTCGCGGTCATGTCTTGCTCTCAATATAGTTCCAGGGGTTGGTTTCGAATATAAAGACACAAGCTCAAAGTATATCATGTTTGTCCAAATTCGACCAACATTCTATGAATGATCAAAAGATTATAATAACCCAAATGAACAACATTGGAAGTCATGTATAGCGAAAAAGGAAACAACAATAGAGGCAAGATGATCTGCACTTTGCAGACAAAGGAAATCAATCATCACTAGTAAATTGAAATTAATTTAATTGGTACATAATGTATCCACCAACCATTGAATTTGTTTTTAACTCTTTGCCAAATCTGTTATTCTACATTTGTAACTAGCTTTTCTGTTCTACTTGCTACCCCCTTGAAAATTCATGCGACTATGAAGCGATCCAAGAAAACCTTCAATGATCAGCAAGTTTCTTCCGATCGCGAATCAGGTGCTGTTTTGAAGAACACAGAGTTGAAATGGGGTCCGAGTCCAATGACACTCATGGGTTTTATAGCTGTTCTCTTGATGGTTCTTACTGTTGTTTTCTCAGCAGCTTTCTTTTTTGGGGACTTACCTTCTGATTGTTTGTGGACTTTGGTTGAAGCTAGAACTTTTCATGCTAAACATTCAAAAGGTGCTGCATTTCCTCTTTATTTTCCCACCTTTTTGCTTTTCCTTTCACTTGTGTAGTATTTCTTCTCTTTTGCAATTCAAGTTTGTTGAAAATAGAATTCATTATGTATAGAAAATACACGACATGCCATTCATTATGTACTCACATGTTCATAATGAAAAAGGCTAAAACAAAGGAGCAATTTAAGCAACAGAAGTTTCCATTTCATGGAATTTAACATTTCTGATGCAGAGAAAATACTTGCTTGTTCTTCTGAGATTGTGTAGTAATCTTACTCTTTTCGTTTTCTTTCTTCCATCCACAGTATCTGAAAAGGATATTCTGCAGCCACTGACAGTGCCAAAAGATAGACTACTTGGTGGTCTTCTTCCTACTGGATTTGATGAAACATCTTGTTTGAGTAGGTACGAATCACACTTATATAGCAAACCTCTGCAACATAAGCCTTCCTCTTATCTTATCTCGGGGTTTAGAAGATACGAAGCTCTCCACAAGCAATGTGGACCTTATACAGAATTATACAACAGAACAGTAGACCTTATAAAGTCCGGTGAATACAGTAGTGATTCTTCAGTTTGTAATTACGTTGTTTGGATATCGTATAGTGGTTTAGGGAACAGAATACTAACCTTAGCTACTGCTTTTCTTTATGCTCTACTCACAAATAGAGTCCTTCTGGTTGACCCCAGAGCTAATTTGCATAACCTGTTTTGTGAACCTTTTCCTGAAGTTTCTTGGTTGCTTCCTCCAGATTTTCCTATTATTGATCGATTTAGTAGCTTTAATAAGAAATCTCCACATTCTTATGGTTATATGGTGAGAAATAATGTCACAGGCAATTCAAGAACACCTTCATTCCTCTACCTTCATTTATGTCATGACTTTGATGTGCAAGATAAATTATTCTTCTGTGACACTGACCAAACTTTTCTCCACAAAGTCCCTTGGCTATTTGTGAAGTCAAATAACTATTATATTCCTGCTCTTTTCTTGATCCCGTCGTTTGAGCAAGAGTTAAACAATCTTTTTCCAGAGAAAGGAACTGTCTTCCACTTCTTGGGTAGGTACCTTTTCCATCCAACAAATTCTGTATGGGGGCTTATTACTAGGTACTATCAAGCTTATTTAGCTCAAGCAGATGAAAAAATAGGCATTCAAATTAGAGTTTTCAGTTTAGGTGTAAGCAATTTTAAGTATGTGTTGAATCAAATATTAGCTTGCGCAACAAAGGAGAATCTGTTACCACAGGTTAACCTGAATGAGCCTATAGCCAATTCTTCTGGCAAGACGAAGACTATAAGCGTCTTGATGACATCTCTGAGTTCACGATACTTCGAGGAGATTAGGAACATGTATTGGCAGAATCCTACTGTTACAGGAGAGGTTGTTAGTGTTTTTCAGCCAAGTCATGAAGAGCATCAACAAACTGAGAAGCTGATGCATGACAGAAAGGCCTTGGCAGAAATATATTTGCTGAGCTTAACTGATAAATTGGTTACAAGTGGATGGTCCACTTTTGGTTATGTGGCTTATAGTCTTGGAGGTTTGAAGCCATGGATTTTATACAAGTTTCAAGAAGGGACAGTCCATAACCCGCCTTGTTTTCGAGCTACGTCTTTGGAGCCATGTTATCATTCTCCCCCTTACTACGACTGCAAGAAGAAAACAGCAAGTAATAACACGGTTAGCATTGCTCCTCATGTGAGACATTGTGAGGATAATAGCTGGGGTTTGAAGTTATTCGATCGAAAAGGTAAAATGTAACCAATAATTGTTGCAAGAGTAGTTACTATAACTTATTTCAATATTCTTTCATTGTTATATATCCGTAGTGTTTGATGAAAGCTATACCATAAATTTCTGTTTCTGTCGGGACTCTTATTTGTATGATATAAAGTAGTCGTGCTATTAATAGGACCATCTACAAATGGGACCAAAAAAGTGAGGTTATAGGTATCCTTTGTTGCATGACAAACAATGAGATTACACACTTCCTGTTATATCAAAATTTAAGCCCCTCATATGGTTGTCAGACATTTCACCAAATTAATGTTTATACAGTCGACGTAACTAAATAATTTGTAAGAAAAGAAAATGGAAGCAAATATATCTATATATATAAGACTATGGTAGTTTTTAAAATCAGTATCATGACATATTGTCTTGGCCTCTATTTTCTCCTTCCTTCGTAAATTAAAACTAAACTACTGACGAAACGTGTTTACACGTCGAGAAACTGTATCGAGCTCAATGTACATGACTAAATGGTAAAGAAGCCTAAAATGCAAACAGTTGGGTAAAGGAGGTGGTTGCTAGTTATCCACCCGCTCACCACCAATTCCAGCTTTTACCCTGTGTTAATTTAAAAAAGCCTGCAAATCTTTTGAATCCATTTAGCCGGTATCAGAATCTGAAAACTCCACTTGGTAAGCATTTTTAGGGTCCACGTCGGTCATAGAAGGTGGAACAAGATCGTTTCTTGGGCGAGTTCTTCGCTTTCGCATGGTTGCATCCTGCAAAAAGATACAAAGGTGGAAAAATCCAAGTCAATTTCCAAAGAGGTCAATATAAAAGATCGTTTCAGGAACAAACTGGAAGTGCCTATCACTACCTTTGCCTTTGGCTGATTTGATTGATCAGGCTCTCTGGTCTGCTGGTTTGAACGTTCTGGCTCATTGGATTTCTGGCTTGAATGATCAAGCCCGCTTGACTGAGCTACCTGACTTCTCTTAAACCAAACACTACCAAATGAGATCAGTGCTGCCAGGAGCAAGAAAGGTCCAACTCTTGGATCGCCACTGAAATCATGAACTTTATTTAGGAAGCTTTTGACCCAATAAATCAATCCTCTACTAGGACTAACAGTTCCTTGAGACCAAGATGACCAACTGGAATCTGCATCCTCTGGGACCAATTCAGGAGTTCTTGTTTTCTGCAACAAAATGTATATATAAAGATACAGAAATAGACGAGTTTCCACTGTTTTACATCCTTGCAATAATCCAACATATGAATAACATGAGAAATCATTATCTCATGTTATTGGTCCCGCGTTGATTAAAAGGAGATCGCTCCTCCCACATACATTCATAAAGTACCTTCTAAACTAGTACCCATAATTTCACCCAAGTGAGAGATGATAGATCAATCTCCATATAGATTTAGTAGCAAAGGGTTAATAATTCTGCACATGCAAAGTTCTGGTATATCAACTACACCAACTGGCAACTGCTGTCATGAATAGAGCTTACAATCTTGAAGGAGGGGCGTCATTTATAAGATCCATATTTCGAATCCAAAACACCATTGAACCAAAATATAAGAACGAGATCCTTTTGGTATGAACAGAGAGATTTGGGAAATTAACTTACAAATGAAGGAAGATTCTTTGAGTCGCCATCTTTGATAATCTCAGAAATCCATTGTATGATCTGTCATTCCAATATACCATACATTAAATATCTAGATATAATCATCATGAACGTTCTCATACAAGTAGTTGGCTCGATAATGAAGAGTCAAACAAATCTCAGGATAAACTATATTTTCTTATCTAGATTATTTCTCATGAAATCGGATAACTCAGTCGAATACCATACAGGGAAAACGTTTGGAGAGCCAAATGTTATTTGGTAAAGCATATTACTTGCATGTTCTAAAAGCAAGAGGCATTTGACTATAAATGAGGCAGTCTTGCATGTCCTAGTTGGTTACAAGGGGTTGCTCAAAACAGAAATTCACCAGCTTTTCCGACATCACAACATACGTGCTTTTTCATAATCTTTATGAGGGACCTTGCGTAACTATCTAAAAGTGGTATTATGCGAACATGTGAATTTTGGAAGAAGGTAAACCAGTGGGAAAAGTAAATACTTTAGGAAGGAAAACCAGAGATATAAATGTTCAACTAGAAGCAATTTTGGAAGGAATGTTCATCACTTTGTGAAACAAAGAGACCCGTGGAAGGAACAACTTTGATATTGTCCACTGTAGACGCTGTAATCTGTATTCAACAGACAAAAGAATTGCTCTACAGAGCAAAGGACAAGATGTTTTACATATGTCAGTGCTGCTGTCAAGGAACACTATATAACTATAGCTAGTGAGTTTATACTCAAATCACAAGAGAATGAGATAACCAGAATCATCATGTGACTTGCTATTGTATTTAAGGGGATCTCTGTCAGTCTACTGACCTGTTCAATTTTATTAGAACCACTGTATCTTGCCACAAGCTGAGCTGCAGGATCAGTTTCAACATTGTACAATTCTGAGAATTTGCTGGTTGGCTGTTTTCCAACATCCTCTGTGTCATTCCTATCATAGCGTACAATGAATAGTTGTGCTGTGTCTGTTATATCCCTCATCGGCCCACAGGTCTCGTGACTATTTTCTGAATTAATGTAGAAGAAACAGTAACTCTGTAGAACGGAGAAGCTGTTAGCCTTCAACATGGCAAAAATCATAACTTTGCACAAAGAAGAGACATCCAACATAAACATGAGAACCAATCAAAACTTACATGCTCAGATAAATTATATAAATACAAGACTAGATTTAGAGGAATAATAGCATAGGGAAAGAAAGTCAGCTATATGATTCACATTCAAGTTCAGGGAGCATCTCTCAACTATACAAAGGAAAAAAAAGGTTTCCAAAACATGAAGATTATTCAAGATTAACAACATTTGGATCCAAAAAAATCCAACAGGACATTAGAGCCTACCGAGTAATCAATCAACTAAGCCTAATCCCAAATAAGTTGGAGCTCTACAATATGGATCCTCTATATCCATTATTCTCTAATAGCTAAATAAAATAAAACCATCAAGGTAATCTGTTAATGCACCTTCTCCAAAATTGTGCAAAAGAATAAATAAATCCACAGAAGTTCGCTAGAACTGGAATTTTCAGGAAACACTATAAGAATCTAAGATGGGGGGTCAAATATGCACAAACAAGTAATTGAAAGATTCCTAGTTAAATATCAAAGATGAGAGGTGGTAGGAGTTTGATATTCTCTCCAGAAAATAAATGCTAAAGAATCTAGATTCATGCTTTTCTGTAATTAAGGTGCTAAAGTTAAAAACCACGGTGCTACAGAAAATGTAATCATGTCACTATTTAGCCACAGCAATGCCAAAATTTGAAGGGAGGTGCATACTTTCTGTGCTTCCCCATCAAGCCAGGCAAACGTCAGCCGTTTCTGTTTTAGTGCAAGCAGAGCCGGTGCAGATGGCTGATCTTGATCAACTGCAGTCAAATCTCCATCACTTGAAAGGGTTTCTTGAATCCTGCGCATGGTCTTATGTGGTAGATAATTTACACCATCAGCTAATGTAACAGACATTCAAAGCATTTAACATTTTTTGCATGTTGCTGTTGGAGCCATATGAATCTACGTAAGTGGTGGTAATAATGAGAAGTGCTTGAGGCCCCAGGGGAAGTCTCTAACCACATTTCAGGGTTAAAGGAGTTCACAGAACATGCATTGGAAGGAAGAAATCTTTAGCTTTTATATAGGACAACAAAATGGAGAATGCATATAATTATATGAAGATGCAGACAAGTAGACATCATTATGGACAGATTATTGTACGTGTTGATATCTTATTTATGTGTTCCAATTCTAATTAATCTTTCATCTCAAAGTTCTTAAATATGAATTATGATTGTCTAAATAAAATTCTTAAGACAGTTCTAATTGTTGGAGCATCTTCTATGTATTACCAGGTGATTCTTAGCAACCCACAACGCAGATTCCGTATGATCCAGGTAGTCCAGCATGGCTATATTAACATCAGAAAGGTACATATGCTGAATAGGACTTTATTAGTTCATGTCATTCATGGGCTTGGGTCTTTTGTTGGGGACCTACTCGGGCAGATTCATGGTATTACTAGTGCCAACATCTCTCTCACACACACAGAGTTTCCCCTCCCCCCTTCTCTCTCTCTCCCTCTATCACAATTATCACACTACACCTGCCGCTAATCTCCATACAGATTTTCTAAAACTAGATGGAAAGATAAATCAACTAAACATCTGAAATGGAAAAGCCAAATTACAGTCTAGAAGCTTTCATTAAGAAAAATGGACTATTAAAAGAGCTTACTTCACGCATTTCATTGAGCTCCTGGCTATACCTCCCGACTAAAACAACACAATACCATATCTTGGTATCCTTTCCAGCACGTGAAAAACCCCGCGGATCACAACCCAATTCCTTCGAAGTTATACTCCTCAATTGTGGAAGCACTGAACAAGTATGAAACAAAAACCAGCAAGATCCGTGTTAAAACTATTTCAGGAAAGATTGTAAGACACATACTAGCAGAGGCACAATCTTTGAAGTCTTTTTCCATATTTCTATATCATGATCTACAGCACAATAATCAGCATCTAGTTTTTCTCCATCCAAATTGGAGAATTCAAGACATAGACAAAAATATAATCATCCTTGAATTATGATCACAACACAAATATTGGAACTCAGATTTTCACATGTTGTCAACTGAAAATAAGCCAATCTGAAGATACCAGATATGCATTCATAGAGTGCTATTAATGCCTTTACCAATTTGCATGTTGGTAGTCTTCAACTCACGCATGTTGGTAGTCTTCAACTCAGGCATAGATGTAGAATTAGTTAACTGATCAATGTCATGACTGCTGTGAAAATTCTTAGACCAGTTTGTGCAGAACATGGGAACAAATTTGAAGCAGCTAAATTGCCACAACTATGCCCATACCTTTTCATCAAAAAAAGAGCTGCCACATTTATGTGTACAATATATAAAGAGTTACCACGGTAACTACAGAGGTCACATAAATAACTATACCTCAAGTAGCTAGTAATGAAATATAATTCCTTCTTGCATCTGAGTGCATAGTACTAACTACTATCTATCC